CCCTTTCCTCTTCTCTTTCCCTTTCCTCCTCACTTGGGCTGGCAAAGAGGTTCCTCTTGGGCTGGATGCTACCCAAAAGGACGCAGGGCCACCTGGACAAGTAAAAGTGTACAGCTAGGCTTTCCTTTAAACAAACAAACAAATAAGAGAGAGGGGGGGGAAGAAATCAGGGGGTAGAAGGAAGCAGGCAAGTCCTTTCAGAGCCCAAGTGCAGCCAGGGAGCTCTACTCTCGGAGAAACAAAGGTAGAGGGGAAATTAATGTGTCGTTAAAGAAGAAGACGGAAAAAACCTTTATTTTAAAGGATACATTAAGCCATAAGAAGTCTCTGTGAGATATTACTTATTTCTGCATATTAGTGATAATAGCCCAGTAAATTTGCTATTGAGGGTATCAAAGGCATTCAAAGCGACTTTGAAACATCAAAAAGATTGCAGTTCTGATTTTACGGTTCTATTCCAGGCCCGACCTCCTGGCTACATTCCTGGGTTGCAATGCTTAAAAGTGCGTCGCGATCCCCCTGCGCCGAGCGGCAGAGTGGGGCTGCCCTGAGCTGGCAAGGGCGTCCCGGCGGCGGCTCCGCGGGCTGGCGGGGAGGCAGCTGAGGACRTGGATCCCAGCCCAAGAAATAGAAAGAAAGGGGGAAAACCATAGGAGCGCTTAAAAATGATAATAATGAGCGAAATCCCGCTTTGCTCCCTCTCCGCGGGCAGGCTCCCCCTGAGAGTCTCGGCGGGGACGGGGCGGCCGCGGACGGCGGCGGGCAGCGCTGCAGAGGACAGGGTTTTATTTTTATTTTTTTTTTTTCATGCCGCTTCTAAATCCGGAGTGAGACGGCTTCTGTCACCGTCAGGGATTTTGGTGTGTCTGTAATTTACCTTTTTGTTTAGTTTTGTTTTGTTTTTCTCCCTTCAGTGCTTAATTATTCCTCCCGGTCTTTCTTCTCTTCCTTCACACGTCTCTTGTTCCACTTAGGGATATTTTATAGGAACATCAAAGGAAGAACCTAGTATTTATTCCCTCTTTCCTTTTCTTTCCTTTTCTTTCTTTTTAGGTATTTGTATTGTCRGGGTAAATAACAAAATCTTTCATCATTACTGACGGCCCCGCGCATGCAGAGCTAACAAATAAGGCACAGGGTCCGTGCGGCAGTTGCACAAGTAAAAGCCCCAGAAATTAAATTCAGCTTGATCCC